TTTTACAACATTTCGCAACCAAATTTTGCAGTTTTTCTAATTTTGATAACTTCTTTCCAAAAATATCCTTGGTTATTCCCAGATTAAACATTTTTCTAAAGCGCAAGTCGTCCATTGTATCTGTTTGACTGTTTGCCAAGGTAAGACGAAGGTATTTTAATTTTACTTTGTTTTCTAAAAATATATTTCCTGGCGACGCGGTTTTTAATCATGTTTACTATCGTTTTGAATCGTTTTTAATCATGTCTAAACGTTTACTGACTATTTAAAACAGTACTTTCTTGCGAGCATGTACGTTGTTGAGTGAATTTTATACTTTAGTAAAGTTTAAAGCCTGTTAAGTGCTGTCTGTTGTTTTGACAGCGGACCAGCGGTATACTTGTTTACTTGGCTATGCTAATTATTCTTTAAAAACGAACGTATATATTATTATTAAGATAGAATTAATATTTGAATTAATGTAATTAAAATCAGTAAATTTATCTTTTTTTATTGTTTTTAAAAAGCTATTTAATAAAGGAAATAGAAAACATTTTTTCCTTGTTCCTATAGAGTTTATAGAAACACTTGTGGACGTTTGGGAGAAACTCGAAATTGCGTGGAAACACTCGCACTTCGTGTTCGTGTTCCCACGTAATTTCTCGTTTCTCCCAAACTTCCACGCGTGTCTATAACTCTATAGAAACACGGAAAATGTTTTCTATTTCTTAATTATTAATGCCATTATTAGCTAAGTCCGAAGTTTGTGTTATCAACGCTTTCTCGCAAAGTGATTTTCGGAATGGTCCTGAACTAAATAAACAAATTTACAAGGAAGCTTACAAGGAAAGATTACAAATTTACAAGGAAGATTACAGCTCCCGTAAGAGTTTTACATGCAAGCCTTATTAATTTTATTTGTAATTTTATTCATTAAAAATAGTTTTAAAGAATACCTACACACACTGTTAAACAAAACTTTGTGACTTTCTTTGTGTTCAACATCATACTTTTAGTAAAAAAATTGCTTGTCTGTAAGGACTTTCGCCCCCCCCCCCCAGGAGATTCGTCCCCTCTCAAAGGGGGGGGGGGCGACATTCCGAGGAATATCGCCCCTCTTTAGGATATTCGCCCCCCCCCAGTATGCGATGTGGTTTATTCAAATAATTTCGTGATACGTTCACCTTATTAGTGCCTTACAGAGCGTTTGCGGGAACGGCAAACGGCTGTCGGAGACTGTCTATATATAGCTTAATGTTTGTGATTTAATAGCAGGATTAATTATTACTTTAATTAGGGACGATCATTGCATGATTGACACATTTAGATTATTATCAAAAGGGATTAAAAGATAGGAATGTAGTGACTGTGTGACTGTGAGAGAGCTAGACCGCGTATACAACTGTGAGTGATTTTCAATAATATATTTTTATAAAACCGAATTTGCTTCGTCGAGAGTTTGGTTGTTCAATACCTTTTAGTAAGGGTGAATTTACTAAACCTGGCACCTCCGACGGGATCGTGAAATGAGTGAGACAAACGCTAGCACCGCGCTGGAAACAAAATTAGTTCAATTGCAACTAACGACGAAGCGAACGGACGGAATTCTAGCAAAAGCCCAAGAAGAGCCTATTGCTCAACGTCAGGGAACACTTAGAACTGTCATTGACGAAGTGGACAAATTAAGGCTTACGGTTGAAGCTGAAAAATTAGGCAGAAAAGAGGACACTACCGAGTGGAATGAGGAGATTGATATCAAAATCAGTGAGGCAGATAGTCATGTAAGACTGACGAAGGAATGGTTGGCGGAAAACAAGAGGAAACTAGAGGAGATGGAGAAAGAAGAGAAGATCAAGTTTGAGGTAAAACTGCATGACACTAAAGTAAAGTTACAAGATGAACATATTCTTAAAAACACTTCGCAGACCAGTAAAACTTTCATTGGAATGCAAGCGAAATTACCAAAGCTAGTGATTTCGAAATTTAATGGTTCTCCTATGGTTGGCCAAGGTTTTGGGGACAATTCTCAGAGAACATTGATCAATCCGCTATTGCCCCAGTAACTAAGTTTTCTTACCTTCGCGAGTTGTTAGAGCCTAAAGTATGACACACGGTGGTATTTAACAGTGGTATTTAACGAGTTTAAAGAACAGTTGACCCGATCTCCCGAAGGATGGTACGAGACCGCGTTACCATGGAAACCAAACCATCCCTATCTTCCTAACAATGAATGTGGTAACCCGAAGCGACTCGGAAGTTTGACTAGAAGACTTCAACGCGAAAACTTGATGGAGAAGTACGACGGCATTATACAAGAACAACTCGCTGAGAGGGTCATTGAAAGAGTTCCACCTCCCGTGGTGACCGGAAGTGACCCAGTTCCACCCCCGTGGTGACCGGAAGTGACCCAGAGCCAATGCCATCCTAGCCCGCGCACAGGCATTGCTCTGGGTACGAGATTGAGTATCACCGATAACGTTGCAAGGCAAACTCGTGTTTCGCGACGTATGCGACTCCAGGATCGGATGGGATTCCAATCTCCCAGACAACCTTCAAAAACGATGACTGAAGTTCAAGAAGTCCCTTCCCGAACGAATAAGTATCCCAGATCACTCGCACCATATCATCAACCAGTCGATTCTGTGGTCCGCCAGGCCGAAGGAGTTGCAACTTCCCTCGTTGCGGCGACGTCCCGATTGGCAAAGAAGAATCTGACGGTGCCGAGATTAGAGTTGGTCAGTGCTCATATGTCAGCAAATCTCGTGACAAACGCAAAGAATGCCCTGATAGAGCTTCCCACACCAGAGATATTTGGTTGGTTAGACAGCACCGTTGCACTTCACTGGCTTCTCGGTAACGGTCAGTACAAACAGTTCGTCGCAAATCGCGTGAGAAAGATACAAGAGCATACTGAGATCCAGTGGAGGTACGTGCCTACCGGAAAGTACGTGGTTGACTGGCCCTGAGTGGCTCGCTGATCGTGACCGCTGGCCAGAAGAAAATCGAGCAGCGGAGAAATCACCTGCCTCCGAGGTCGAATCGAGAGTCATGAAGGAAGTGCTCAGCCTCGCACAAGAACAAGAACAAGAACGAGATAAAGAATCCGAGAACGACCCCTTCGAGAACCTCCTCCAACGTCACGATCTGCTTCTCTCACTCCGAATTCTAGCCTGGGTACGCCGCTTTTCGACAAACCGTCATCGTAGATGGTCCCTGACGTCCGATGACGTAAGAGAAGTTCGAGACTGGTGGACAAAACGAAAGTAAGCGAAAGATTCCCCAAGACCTCACTTCGAGCATACGAAACAGTCCCTTAACCTCGTCATGAATCAACATGGGATTCTCGAATGCCTAGTGAAAGCTGCTCGTGCAAAGTGCTATGGCTGTAAGCGATTTACAGCGACGCCGATCGTAAAACCAATTCCAGGAAAGCTGCCTAAAGATCGTACCACTGGCGGGGTAGCGTTCAAAGCGATAGGTACGGGTTTCGCGGGCCCTATTCGCTATAAGTGCCCCAACAAACGCGAAAGGAAGAGCTACTTAGTCATATTATTGTGCAGTTTGTCGAGGGCAGTCCATCTCGAACTGATCAAGAACCTCGAAACGACATCATTTATCCCGTGTCTGAAACGACTGATCGCACGACGCGGGCGTCCGAGAATCGTCTACTCTGACAATGGGGCTACCTTCGTCAAGGCCTCCAAGAGCTGGTTGAAGCAATCCAGGAACGACGAACGTGTGCAAGGCCTTCTGGAACAGTACGACGTACGTGTCGTGGAAATTCAACCTGAGTAGAGCCCCGTGGTGGGGTGGTCAGTTCGAGCGGTTGATCGGAGTGGTAAAGAGCGCTTTGTACAAGGTGATCGGTGGGGCGAAGCTGACGTGGTCGGAATTGAGCGACGTGCTGCTAGATGTAGAAATCCAAGTGAATCGACGTCCACGTAGCTATATGGAAGACGACGTAGAACTTCCAACCCTAACCCCTTCCACATTTCTATTTCAACGAGCTAATGAATTACCCGAAAGTGAACCATGGCGGATCGAAGACCAAGATCTACGGAAAAGAGCGAGGTACCTAACAACGTGCAAGAATAGCTTGTGGAAGAGATGGCGACGCGAGTACATGACCGCGCTGAGAGAACGTCACAGACTCGTCCATAAGACCCGGAAATATAAAGTTAAAGAAGGCGACGCAGTGATCGTGAAGACAGACGACAAATATCGAGGGGAATGGCCACTAGCCATAGTGGAGAAGTTATTCACATGACCAGATATCTGGTCGGACGCGAGCTGTTCAGCTCAGGACGAAAAATGGCGTGATAGAAAGACCCGTTCAGCATCTCTATCCCCTAGAACCCCAGCGCGACACAAAAAAGAACGCGAACGAAGGCCGAGTCCAACTGAAACCCGAGCGTTCTTATTGAAAAGAGCTGCCGCAGCAGATGCACAAGTAAAAATAACCGCCAAAGCAGAAGATCAAGAAGAAGACATGTGAACACTATATAATATTTACACATTAATACTAGATTCATTCATTCACATCAATACTAGATTCATTTTCAAGTTTTGTTTTCCACGAACACGATCGTTTAGATGCGAAACCTTAGGGAACATACAATTTAGCTCCTAACTTGCATGGGGGAGTGTGTCGGAGACTGTCTATATACAGGGTGTATAAAAAAAAGGTAATCGAACTTCAGCGCGCTATTGTATCTGAATTACTCTAAGTATGAACGAGATTTTTTCACATTCGGAAAGATCATGCTATTAGCTGTTAAATGACATCTTCTTCATGCCAAATGGATAAAAAATGAGCAAATACGAATCCGATAAAAAATCTTAGTCAGAATCGCATATTTTCACCGTTGAGAGTTAGGTCTAAAACCATTGAAAATGAATTCCCTTTAGGACTTAAGTTGATGAATTTCACTTCATTAAACTGCACACATATTCATAATCTTAGCTAAGCTACGACACGTTCGTGATTAATTGCTTTTTTCTTTTGTTATGCATTGTTTTAATTAGGCACAGAGGTGAAAATATGCGATTTTGACTAACATTTTTAATCGGCCTCGTACATGCTTATTTTTTCTCCACTTGGTATAAAAAGCATGTCATTCAATAGCTAAAAGCCTGATCTTTCCGAATATGAAAACCAATTGTTGATACGCAGAGTAATTCACGTATAATAGCGCGCTGAAGTTCGATTACTTTTTTTGATACACCCTGTATAGCTTAATATTTGTGATTTAATAGCAGAATAATTATTACTTTAATTAGTGATGATCACTGCATGATTGGCACATTTAGATTATTATCAAAAGGGGTCAAGTTAAAAGATAGGAATGTAATGACTGTGTGACTGTGAGAGACCTACTAGACCGTGTATACAACTGTGAGTATTTTCAATAATATATTTTTATAAAATCGAATTTGCTTCGTCGAGAGTTTGGTTGTTCATTACCTTTTAGTAAGGGTCAATTTACTAAATTTTCTATCATATGATACAGGACACGCATTCTAGTTATAAAACAACAAGCCCATTTACTTTTTATTGCTTTATTGCGTAAAATTTTTCTTTGCCTGACGAGTGACGTTTGTCGTTTAACGCGAAGCCTAAGCTCTCTATTTTACAATAACGACACTGACGTGGATGCTAAACAATCTTAACTATTATTATAAATCCATTTTGAAAATATTTAATATATTAAATAATGCTCATTACATTTATACGACGAAATGTTTCTGGGCCTTGAATGGGTAATACGTTGTACATACTAAGACCATCTATTTAATTTATATTTTGAAATTCGACAATTCAAGTCAAGTCAAGTCAATTTATTTTAGCCAATAAAAAAAATGTTTACAATATCAAAGAGATTACATTTCGTAAGGCGAGGAGACCCAAAAGAAACCATAAGGGCTTATGTAATTTGGGCCACCTAGATCAAACTACAGTAATAAATATATAGCAAATTTTTAGTGTAAATCAAACAAACAAACGAACAAACAAAATTTGGATGAAAAGGAAAAATAGACCAAAAAATTGGGATCAGGTTTTTGACAAAGCATAGATAGAAACTATGTTACATTGATTGTGTGTTTAAATGATACAAAATTAAAGTCTAAATAAATATTCTTTACGTTTTTTCCAAAAACCGGAGACGGATGAAGCATCATATATATTTTTGGGGAGGGAGTTAAAAAATTTAGGACCTTGGTAAATAATAGCAAATTTTCTCAGGTTAGTTCTACAAAATGGGAGGAAATACAAATTCGATTGTCGCGTATTATAATTGTGAACTTGGTTAACACATGTAAAATTCTCATCAAAATTAGACGGTAACATACAATTATGGAACTGATACATAAACAAGCCTAAATGAAACAAATAAATTTTGTTAAATGGAAGAATCTCAAGCTCGTTAACAAATGGGATATGTGTGTGCATCATATGAGGTTTTATAAACAATTCTGATCATACGCTTTTGCAAAAGAGCAATACGATTTAAGTTTGAAGGGTAAGTTGAACCCCAAACTAGGATACAATATTGCATGTATGGGTAAACGAGAGCGTAGTACAATGATATTAAAGATCGTGTCGGAAGACAAAAACTAGCTTTCCTGATAATTCCAATGGATTTCGACATTTTTCTTAATACATGGGATATATGGGACTTCCACGTTAAATTTGCATCTAAAATAACTCCAAGAAAACTAACTTCATCAACCATATCAATCTCAAAGCTATTTAAGACTATTTTAGGATTGATATGAAACTTTTTTTGTCTTGGTCTAAAAATCATAAAATTGGTTTTCTTCAAATTAATTGATAGTTTATTTGCTGATAGCCACACAGTCAGCTTGTCCAGTTCTCCATTTACTTGATCAATAAGGAACGGCAAATTGTTATGCGAGAAAAACAAGTTTGTGTCATCAGCGAATAAGATAAGGTCAGCAATGTTGGAGACCTTATTAATGTCATTAATGTAAAGCAAAAAGAGAAGTGGAGCTAGTATTGAACCTTGGGGCACACCACAGTAATTAGAGTTTTTCTTCGAGTACACCCCATTGAACTGAACAAATTGGAGTCTATCGCTAAAGTAACTTTTAAACCAATCAAGTGCTACTCCACGAATTCCAGAATGCTGTAGTTTATCAAACAAGATACTATGGTTAACTGTGTCGAAGGCTTTGGATAGATCTAAGAAGATGCCAATTGTAAATTCATTGAGGTCAATAGCGGATGAAATTTTATTGTATAGTTGCAACAAGGCTAAAGAAGTTGAATGACCGCTTCGAAAACCAAACTGATTGTCAACGAGAATATGGAGCCTGTCCAAGTAGTTAATTAAATGAATAGAAACAATTTTTTCAAAGACTTTCGAGAAAATTGGCAGGATTGATATTGGTCGGTAATTTGAAAATATTTGTCGATCACCAGTTTTAAAAATTGGAACAATTCGAGCGATTTTCAGTTGATCAGGAAAAAAGCCGGATGACATCGACAAGGTGGGTTAAAGGAATGGATATTAAGTCTATGCAATCTTTAATAGTGTTGATAGGTAAATTATCATATCCAGTGGCAACACCATTTCTGAAAGATTTGACTATGGCAGTTATCTCTTGTTCTGTAGTCGGCTCGAAGAACATAGTATTTGTGAAATTACCAGTGAGAAAAGAAGTGTACGAGACCGGTACAATAGGTAATTTTTTTTATAAATTGGGGCCTATATTGGAGAAATAATCGCAAAAATGATCAGCAATTGTGGGAGAGTCAGAGCAGTCGTTATCATTAATTACAAATGTGGATGGAAGCCTGCTATTCCGTCGTTTGTTTTTGTTGATTACTTCATTCAAGATGCTCTAGGTTTTTTTACAGTTGGACTTATTATGCTCGATGAGATCCTCGTAGTAATGGCGTTTCGCGATGCGTAATAAATGATTTAATTTGTTCTTAAATCTTTTGTATCTATCCGTGTTGTCAGCAGTTGGAGAGTTTAAATAACGCTTGTACAACTGGTTCTTTTTTCTTATTGATTTTAAAAGGCCGTTGGAAAGCCAAGGTTTAAAAACTGTTGACCTTTTATTTTTATCTTTTTGAGTGAAAAACAGGAATTGTAAAGATTAGTAAAAATATTCAAAAAACTGGAGTAGGCCTTTTTTGGCTCATGAATATTTTCGAGATCATACCAATTAATGTCGTGTAAACGATTGCGGAATTCGTTTCTATTTTTTTCGCTTTTGTCACGAAAAACGGTATATGAAGCTTCATCAGTCAGTGGTTCGTTGTCATTGGAAATAAGAAAGATAGGTAAGTGATCGGATATGTCAGATAAGATTAAACCACTAAAAACATATTGATCAATATCGTTAGAAAATATATTGTCAATAAGCGTACCGGAGTGTGAGGTTATTCTGGTGGGAAGCGTTATGGCAGGAAAAAAACATATTAGCATACATTATGTCAAGAAACTCATTAGTGAACTGGTGAAAACTTTGATTTAATAAAAATCTAAGTTAAAGTCACCCATGATATAACTTTTTTTGTTATCTCTGGAGACTTTATCGATCAGTATATTTAGCCCGTTAATAAAATTAGCAACACTTTGGTGGGGCGGTCTATAAATCACTCCCACAACATAATTCTTACCCTTGGGATTTGCAATCTCAATGAATAACGATTCAGCAATTTCGGTATTTTCAAAGCACAAATCATAACGAATTTTGTAATCAAGTGTAGATGCGATATACATCCCAACCCCACCTCCGGTTCTGTTGGAACGATAGTTGTGTTCAAAGTTATACCCATTAATGTCAACCTGGTGGAGTGAATTCTGAAGCCAGGTTTCGGAAATTCCAATGACCGAAAACGGATTATTTATTCTTGCGAGCAAGTTCTGCAGACTATTTAGATATTACAGTTTAAACTACGAATATTCAAATGCATGAAAGATAAGTGGTTAGTATTTTGAGATGAGTTGAGCAGTAAGTTATTTAAACTACATTCATTAAAAAAATCGCAATTAAATTTTTCATTACGAAAGTTGGAGTCCGGATCTAAGTTAGAAGATAGAGTTAAATTCTTGTGAAAATTACGATGCAAGGGATTTTAGTTTTAAACTCAATAACCTTTCGTCATCAAAATTCACTCGACCATGTTGCATTTGATACATTTCTAATTCAAAGCCATCATCGTCAAGAGTGTAAAAGGGAAAAACACTATTAGGACAATCGAAAGATATCAAAGATAATAAGGTTATAAATAACAATTCCATCATGTTTGTCTATATATAATAATAATGTGCTTCCAGCCATATAGCCATAGGAAAATAACAACACGCTGATGCGAAGGCAACCAAGTTTAAATTTGGTGAATGTGCTACTGACTACTGTAATAACAATGATAATAATAACAATGAAACTAAACGTATTTCTTCTATAAACACGATAGTAAATTTATAGCTTAGCCTTAGCTGATGTGGTGGTATAGACCTAAATATTGGTATTGTCAAGACTTGTTTTTTTGTAACTGATGTTAAAAAAAAACCAATGACACCTTGACAATACCAATAATTACGATAACCGCCACGGTGATTACTTTTTAACAATTAAGGTGAAGTTTCTAGAGGTGAAGTTTCTAAAAGGTGAATTTTCTAAAGGGGGGTGAATTTCCTAAAGGGGGCGAGTTTCCTAGGGATTTCGCCCCCCGGGAGGGCGATATGTATAGGTTATTTTGAGACAACGTGCTGCAAAGTCATTACAGGTGAATATTAGAGGGGATTATTAAACGGAAATTGATTAGAGAGGAATATTGAATATATTCCCCGATAAGAACAAAGGTAACCGAGCACTGTGAAAAATAATACTAGGAATTTCGTCCCCCTGGAAGGTGAATTTGTAAGGGGTGGGGGGCAAAATTCCTGGGACACCGGAACAAACTGGGAAGACATTTTGTTTTGTTTGAGGTGAATAAGATTACGTGAAAAGCATGCACTATCCACCTAGCGTATATGCCAATCTAGGATTTGCGAATTTTAAACAAAAATGGTAATGGATTACCTGCTGCGTATACGTCTACCTCGCAAAGCTGCAAATATCCTCCGTCTTTGCTTTCAATCATGACATAACGAGCAAATGATGGTGGTTCACAAATGACTATATTTTCCGGGGTATTATCGATCTCTAAGTCTTTCGCAAAGTTTGGTAATGTACCGTCGTCTCGCAAGCCGACAGTAACCAGCGTATTTCCGGCGACAATCAGCTTGGGCAATCTGATCTTCACTGAATAGATTTTAGCTGGTTCGTCAAGGATAATTTTCCACCAAGAATTTTGGGATCGCTAAAATACGATTGAATATAGTAAGAATTTATTATAACATCACCACTTTGTTTAAAAGTGAAAGATTTTATAAATATTCTATTATGTACGGAGGTCTTGGCCTGAAGGGCCTGTATGTAAAAGAAAATTTAAGTCCCTCCCTATATTATGCAGTCTATATGGCGGTGAAGCCTACTCTGAGGTGGTAACTCGCCTAAAATAGCATTAAATCGCGGGTTAAAATTGACCGAAGTTCTTTTAAATTGCCTAAAATCGCATTAAATCGGCAACAGGAGATCTAAAAATATCGCCTAAATTGCCAAAACTCGCAACAATATATAATTATGTACTAGTATTTTTCATTGTTTCTTTGCACATTTAGTCTAAATCTACAACCTTAAGTTCATTAATTGCTGCCACTTCGCTAGCAAATTCATGTATAAACCCAGCTATTTCGCAATCAAAAGTGGTGCAACGTGGTGTGCCTCAAGGAAGTATCCTAGGACCTGTTCTTTTTGCAATTTTCATCAACAACCTTCCCGACATAATAATTACCTGCAGACGAGACTTTAGAAGCCTTCCACGCAGACGAAACTAAGAATCCACAAAAGGGTAAAGTTTCAAGAAATTATAAAAAAAATAGACAGGTGTGCCAATAAATCTGTGTCTTCGGTGAACCGAAACGTGGTGGAATTTCATCACCAAATCATATAAAATCAAAACAAGCACAAAACGTAGCCTTGTTTCACTTTTCAACATCATAATCAAACACAACTTAGCGTTTTCCTTAATACTAGTACGGATTAAACGCAAAAAGTAGTTGCGATTAGCCGAGGAATGTAGCTTTGATCTCTGGCTTCGATCTATAGCGTGGAAAGAACGTGAAATGCAAGAAATTTCATGCACAGCTCAACATCATAGCTATTTTAAACTTAGCGCGCTAGGAAGTGCATTGTACTAATTCCGACGAACGTGGCCAGTGAAATATAGACTAGATTCCAGTTCATTTCGCGGTCAAATCCAAGAAATTTCAGGATATAGCCCCTATAGTCTGAGGGAATTAGTCAGAAAAACAGGCAGACCCGGAATAAATTACCAACAATTCACATTTGGTACGGTTAGATAGCTTATTTTAAGTGGAATAACATAATTTGCGAGCTCAATATAAAAAAATAGCCTATTAAACTGCTATTGTCAGTAAATTGTGAAATTTCAAGTTCATCTATAGCAAAAATAATCTACGTCACTAGAAAGATCGCAAAAAATTATGTAAAACTCAATTAAACGGTTATGCCGAATTCCTAATCATTTTTGGGCTATGTACGGTGAAATCTGCTAAACGTTCATTGGCATTAATACTTCAAAATGGGTTAGGTATTCGGCATAACAGTTTATACTAATTGAGTTATATATAATTTTCTGCGATCTTTCTAGTGACGTAGGTTATTTTCGCTATAGATGAACTTGAAATTTCACAACTTTACTGACAATAGCAGTTTAATAGGCTATTTTTTATATTGAGCGTAGAGAGGCTTTTGATATGTTATTCTACTTAAAATAAGCTTTCTAACCGTAGCAAATGTGAATTGTTGGTAATTTATTCCGGATGCAAGCTTAATTCCCCCAGACTACTAGTGTACGTTGTGTGAACTTTCAAGGAGTGATCGTAATCAAAATAAAAAATAAAGAAACTGCGCAGTTTGCAGGTTTGCAAGTGTGACAAGAACTGTGAGTTCTTAATCAGTGCATAAAAATTTATAGAGTTGTACGTTTAAATTGAAAGTAGTAAAGGGGAGGTGGCAAAATCTGTATAGTACAAGCAACTTTTGGGTAGCCGAAAAAATTTAATACCACCATTAAAAAAGCAAGCAAACGAAATAATTATGAAATGAAGCAAAAACTGCCTGAAAATCTGATTTATGCTATATTCCGGTTTTTGCAGATGTTGCATTTCGCGCTTGAGATAATACCACATTAAATGAAGAATCAGGGGCGAAACTAGTGGGGGGGGGGGGTTGAGGGGAGGGGGACACCCACTCAATATTGTAATATTGTAGTTTCGTCGGGCAAGTTTAACAATTTCAACGACACGTTTGTCGGGCAAAAAAATTTACATAATTTATCGAAAAGTAATAGTTGTATGGAAAATACCGATAAGTTTACGAAAATATTACTGAAAAATGGCCAAATTACCGAAATTTTGTATGGAAATATATGGGGAAATACCCTGGATTCCAGAGCCTTCGACAGTAAATAATAAATTGAAATGTCGCGAAGGCTCTGGTTCAACGGGGCGATTCTTTGATTAAACCGCGCCAATCACAAAACAGAATTAGTGGTTTTAGTACAGTATCTGTACTAAAACCACTAATTCTGTTTTGTGTTTGGCGCGGTTCAATCAAAGAATCGCCCCGTTGAACCAGAGCCTTCGCGACATGTCAATTTATTATTTACTGTCGAAGGCTCTGGAATCCAGGGTAATGGGGAAAATGAACGAAAGCAATTAAACGTATTCGTCCGGAAGAATTTTTTTCTCTAAAAAGTTGTCGACGAGGGGGGGGGGGGTTATTGTCCGAAAAAATTTTTTTTGGAAAACTTTTTTTGCGACAGAAATGTCCGCTGGGCACTCCCTATTGGTCGGGCAAAACAAGCTCCCCCCCCAGCCGTAATACTGAAGTTTCAGCCTTGTAAAGAATACATACCTTCGTTGGCTGTAGTGTTAAACTACAAGTGTAATCAAGTCCATCCACTGCCAATTGTGAAGAGAATTCAGGCGAGGTGCTTGACTGACTTGACCAAGAGTTATACGCAAGATTTTCTGTAGTGAGATGATTTGAAAAGAAAAAATATACACAGCAGCTGTTTTGATAAATATCGCAGGGTGTATGGTTTTATATACTTATGGTACTTCACCAGAAAATGTTTGGAACATTCCCGCCCCATTTTTTCTTTTTTTCGATATGTTAAACACATACAGAAGATTTCGTTAAGAAGAAAATTACGACAGTGACTACTTCGACGTGAGCCTAACTGTATTTGGTGCATGGGTGCTTGTACGTGATACGACCTTTAACATCACCGAATGTTTTGAATTTAGGCTAACAAGAGGCATTGCCTCCGAATTCGCCCTAATTAAAGAAGATCACCTGTAGGGTCGTAGCGACCGAGGTGTATGTGTTGAGGGGGGAAGATTGGGGTTGGGGGAGTAACACCCACCTCCCACTTGAAATATGTAACAGCCATTACAAATCATATAAATGATACATAACAGATCTTATCCTTCAATTGCTTGCGAATAAATTACCAAACCATTGCGCCTACCTCCTCGATTCTCGCACATATGATGCTGGCCGGGCACATTGTCATACATTAGATAGTGCATCTAATTATTCTGCAATTCAAAAATTGAAGCATTGCAGTCTCAGGATATTCCCATGAAATGAGAAGATTCGCATGTTGTCTATTTCTTAAACAGAGAACTTAAACATTAAGTTAAACCTTTTCCAAATACATTTTTAAACTATTCAAATAATGAAAGTTATTGTTGTTTTTTAAGCGTTTATTAGCGAGTGGGAACTATACCAACATGGCCGCCATCTATTCAAATGGGGGTAACCGCTGGAATATTCTTGGCTTCAATTTTACTAAAAGAGATGCGCTATCTAGTGTATATAAGATATCTATGACATTGTCATCTTTGAGCACCAACTTATTTCCTTCCCACGTTAAATAGGCGTACGCATTTTTAGAATCTATATCCAAGGTACGCTCGCTGTTATTATATACTCGGCCATCACTCCACACCCATTGTCGAGAATTTGAAAATAAAAAATGTGCACAGCTGTCTTGATGAATATCGCCAGGAAAAGGTCGGAACATTTCCCCGTCCAGTTTTTCTTTTTTTTTATATGTTATATGCATACAGAATATTTCATTAAATTAAGAATATTACGACAGTGACTACTTCGACGTGAACCTAACTGTATTTAGTTTTCTGATACGACCTTTAACAGCATGGCACCGAACGCTTTGAACTTAGGCTAACAAGAGACATTGCCTCCCAGGGATGTTGGAACCACGGGTGAAGCGGGTGCAAGTGCACCCCTTGCCTTTTGCATTTTCAACTTTGTGGGTGCAGTGCGGGTGCAGACTATGGGTGTAACGGGTGCACAAAACTTTTGCAACAGGCAGAATTAAACGTCGTTCGAGAATGTGTGTGGGGTGTTCCACCCCTCAGTCGTCAGGAATTCGGCAAAGTTGTTATCTATTTGGCGAAAGGTGAAACGGAAAGCATTACTTATGGAATTTTTGGCGAGCCTACGGAGAAATTGTGCCTAAATAATTGTATTCGGTCCGAAAAGAATTGGTGACGGGGAGGGAGGTCGACACGAATGTAAGATCATGACACCCTTTCATTTTCATTGGTGCCCTTTTATTAGGGAGTATGCCCTCTTGTTAGCCAGTTGCACCCCTTGCCCTCAGCAACTTCCGGCATCCCTGATTGCCTCCAAATCCGCTCTATCTTAGGGCTTGTTCATACGAATCCAGTTTGCCGGGAAGGCCACCTGCAGGGTTGTAGCGACCAGGGGATGTGTGTGTGTGTGTGTGTGGGGGGGGGGGGTAACACCCACCTTCCTCTTGAAATATGTAACAGCCGTTACAAATCATGTAAATGATAACACCACAGATTTAATCCTTCAAATGCTCGCGAATTATTGCCAAACCATTGCGCCTACCTCCTCGTTTCTCGCATAGATGATACTGGCTGTAAACATAGCTATCTTTGAGTACCAACTTATTTCCATCCCACGTTAAAAAGGCATATGCATTTTTGGAATCTATATCCATTAAGGTACGCTCACTGTTATTATATACTCGTCCATCATTCCAGACCCATTGTCGATCTTTCCTTGACAGTCCCACTGTAATCTATCAAAAATCATACACGATTAGAGCATAAATTATCGCAGCGTGTGCGCCGGCGGGGCATTAATTATAGGACTCTGACTTAAGAGATATGGCATATATTTTTTTATTATTTCATTTTAAATAACCTTTAAAATTATATGTTAATCTCCTTTACCGATTTTGCGTAACTTTATTATTTCTTGAAATATTTTGACTTAAAATGATTTGCTGTCCGCCATCTTGGATTAATTTTTATCTCATTATCGGTGATTTTAGTGACGTCATAAGCAGGGTTAGCCATATAAAACTACATCTAAATGACCAAATAACATTAAGTCTTGTTTGAAAAGTCGTCAGACAGTTTTTATTTCAAATAGTTACTAAAGTATATGATTTTGGGCTCATAATAACCAATTGTTCTATGGATAAAATTCTTGCGTGACCCTGCTTATGATGTCACATGCATATCCGCCAAAAACCAAGATGGCGGAAAGCTCGCTGATTTGTGATTTTTTCTGTTCAAATATCTCAAGAAATAATACAGTTACGCAAAATCGGTAAAGAGATTAATATACAATTTTAAAAGTTCTTTAAAATGAAATAATAAAAATATATATTGCCGTATCACTTTAAGAACATAACTAACCTGGGTGATTCTGACACTTCTAGCTTTGACTAGTTTGATATGATCAAAATATTCGGCTAGGCGTGTCATGCCAGTTTCATCAAGTGAAGCTAGAGTCCCAAAAGTCCGTGAACAGCGATATTCTGCATCTGTAGGGGAGCTTACACGGCACATCAGCCAAAGACATTTGTTCATTATGTTGAGGTATCCAGGAGGACAATTTCCATTATCTAAAGTAAATGCATATTGCAAATGCACATCGTTTAAACACTTCAGTTCAGTTTTTGAGAACAAAGTAAGCAAGAATGAGTACGTAAATATAAGTGGAGGTGTGTCAATTATCCTCATATTCATCACAGTCGAGAACTAAGCTGAATTGGAAAGAACGATGCTCAAATCTGATCGAGCTAGTTGAGACCTTCTTAGGGCGCATCTGGCTGCCAACCCTATGACTCATGTCCGAGAAACTCACGACTTTTAGTGGAGTGTTGACGGACTCTTTCACATGAATATATCGAGCCCTGAGAATCTCGAGAATGAGCATCGCGCGATCTCAGAGGTGAAAGGCGCTTGCTCTGACGATTATGCACCAACCTCCCCCAGTGCATCATATTTTCTCCCATGATGAAGTTTCTGCGTATGGTATTTTTGTCACGGAAGCTGTTTACAAGACACGTTTTGTTTCAAACCAGGTGCTCTTCGTGCAAGCCCTTCGTGTTCGCTATGTATAGTTTAATATGAGATCAGTTGCTCAATCAAACATGGCGAAAATACACGAAAACATACTTACAAGCAATATTTTTTACAAGCTCTGGCTAAACCTTTTAAGTATAATAGAAATTATTGTAGAGAAGCAAAATTTCGACATTTGAGGTACAATTTTCCATTTGAATCAAATTTGGTGTAAAACCCAATTTCTACAAGCTTCTAACTCATCAGAATTCTCGCTATACCTTGATTATTTTGATGACTTTTTACGTACACAACGTCGCCATTTTCCGTCCAGTTTCGATCGAGATGAGTTGCACTAAACTCCGAGATATACTCGCCATACCTGTCAACCTCCATGCTATAATATATTGCTGAACTGTTCTTTTGCGAGGTCTTGCTCACATAAAAATATCCAATTAGATCATCCAAGACAGCATCCATATTGCTAATTAAGGACATGTGATATGAACTCGAGAATAAATACATAGGTATTGGATAGTCTTTGCTTGGAGTAATGCGGGCAGTAAAGTGTGATGTTGAATAATTGAGATCACAGTTTACTCCATTTTTAGAAACTGTATATTCCTTTGGAGATGACTTCTTGCTGAAGACGAAAAACGTCTGTTCATCTTGAAGTAAAGAAAAAATATATATGCTAAAAAATAAACATTAGCCTACTTCTACAGAGTATAGCTACTTTCGTTCTGAACTATTATCTCTAAGGTCGAGTAAGGGCTTGTTCTTCCAACTTCCCGCCAGCGGCCAATTGTTCGAAAGCCAATTAGTTTAACCCAAGGATACCATAACAAGGAGGAATTTCGTTCTCGACCAATCAATGCATTTGTTAACATTTTCGCTCTAAGCCAATCAGAATATCAGAATGCGTATGTAAAAACATACATTTGAACAGAAAATATAGGGTCTTAAACAAAGCTTTGAGGTGGTCAGGATGTTTAATATTTTTGATTGGATTTAACATGACAAGGTAAAATAAAATATTTTCTAAAAATTTCTCGTTGGGATTTGCGTTTTATTGCCTAGTTTTAAAATTATCGGCATTCGAAGTTTCGAACAGCGGCGTATGAAAAGCGCGTAAGTATGAATGCCGATAATTCTAGAACTAGGCAATAAAACGCAAATCCCAACGAGAAATTTTTAGAAAATTTCTTATTCTGGCTTGGCACGTTGAATCATGGCACGTTCAATCAACGTTCAATCTGGCTTGGCACGTTCAATCAACCCTTCCCACCAGTTTCTCTTCAGTATTGCCGGAAAGAATTACAAATTTACTCCTGAAAACAAGCGGGGTGAGGAACCCCCATTCTTTCCCCTGCTATGCCCCTGCTTCCCGCGTGCTCAACAACGCGATTGAACACGCCAAAAAATATCCTTAACTTGACACAAATAAGTGCAGTGAATAGTATACTCACCACTATTATCATTACAATTGCCAATTTCTGATTTGATGTTAAAATTTGCAAGATAGACCACCTCACCATATTTAACGTGGTGTATTTCCACCTATAAATATTCAAAAAGAACTTGCACTTGGTATTTAGACTATTTATATGATACGTCCCTGCTTCATACTTAAAAACTCTATTAACTCATTCTTGACCAAAACTTCCCTTAAAGGACAATGGCAACGAAAATTTTTATTGGCTATTTCAATTCTACTTGACGACCTAACTATGAAAATATTATCATTTCCTTCTCGAACATTTTAGTCATACATGCAGACTTTGTGTTTCGCCGCCATCTTGGAAAAAAATTTTGAAAATTATCTCGAAGGTCAATGAACTTTGTGACGTCATTAGATGGGTAGCACCAAAACTACAAGAGAGAATTCTATTTCGTGCGTGTTATGTTAGCTAAAAATATGTCGTTTTGAGCTTTATACTGGCCAACACTCTTCGCAATTTGGAAAACTTTTTTTGCGACAGAAATGTCCGCTGGGCACTC